GTGTCCCTGAACCCGCACTGATCATTGGGAGATCGATACAGAATAAAGTAAATTTAGCGGTCTCTTTTAATCGAAAGTACTTCGTAGTTTGATGTCACGATAGAGTAATCACCGAGCATCACAAAGCCAGAAATATCAGTTTGTAATAACACACCAGCGCCAGTACTGTAATCACGATTTAAGGAAAACTTACTATAGCCTGGAAGAGCAAACACGTCGTCATTATTTCCGTGCCATGTTTCAGTTAACATAAGCATATAAAAATGAGTTTGAATAGTATTAAAACACAACAGATACGCTCTTTTAGACATTGCAGATTGCACACTTAAATGAAAAAGCTTGCATGTGGATTACTCCGACTCTTTAAAAGTGTGTTTAGACTTCCTACCGTCATGGGACCAAGATTCGCAGCCATAGGTAAAAAAACAAGTAGAGAAAAAATAAATTATTTTAAACCGGTCTTTCAAGCTTAGTTTCAGACGAAATGATAACGACAGAGGTGACCTTATTTGCAAAGATTTTGCTGTTCCGAAATCACCAAGTCAAACCCAAATTTGGGGGTTTTACGCGCCAAACCAACGACGGGATTCTGGCACGCCCCAGCGGAGGACTGAGGATTAATTTCGACCACCTGGGCCCGTTTGCTCGAAGCGCTAACCGCGGCTAAAGTTAGCCGCAGTACCTAGGAGAGGGATTTTGAGATCACGTGACTGGCTCGGTAGGGATGCGGGGAAACATGGCGGTGCCCAAGTGAGTGAGCGCCGGTCGCTTTGGAACTAATATGTCGTTGTAGCTGCAATATCGGGCGCGTTAGTCAGCAACAAATAAGGCAGGAGGCTTTCGCTTTGCCTTACCTAACTTAAACTGCAAAGCATGGGCAATGACATCGCGCATTTTTTAGATAGTGTTTCGATTCTGGACATTCCTAAGCCTAAATGAACGCGATAATTGTCGGCATGACAACGCCTTTGGAAAGCGGATTGTTGATAGCACACAATAGCAGACAGCGTCCCGACAGACTTTTTCTAAATTATCCAAGCATCACGAGGAGAACGCTGGAAGTGTAATTCTACGGTTCACGCGCGCTGGCCTTCCTCTTATAAAAGATTTGAAGTAAAAAATCATAATAAGGCTTTAACGAACGCGCGTGCAAGGCAAAAATTGTTTTATACTTTTTGCTTTAGAACCGCTACAACTGCAGACGCCAGCACGCGCGACACGTGCAACTGCAGTCGTAGCACGCACCTCGGTGCTTGGATAATTTAGAAAAAAGGTCTGTTGGGACGCCGTCTGCTTTTGTGTGCTATCAACAATCCGCTTTCCAAAGACGTTGCCATGCCGACAATTATCGCGTTCATATAGGCTTAGTAATGCCCAGAATCGAAACACTATAAAAAAAATGCGGCGATGTCATTGCCCATGCTTTGCGGTTTAAGTGAGTAAGGCAAAGCGAAAGCCTCCTGCACCATTCGTTGCTGACTAACGCGCCCGATATTGCAACCACAACGACATATTAGTTCCAAAGCGAGCGGCGCTCACTCACTGGGGCACCGCCATGTTTCCCCGCATCCCTACAGAGCCAGTCACGTGATCTCAAAATCCCTCTCCTAGGTACTGCGGCTAACTTTAGCCGCGGTTAGTGCTTCGAGCAAACGGGCCCAGGGGTCGAAAAGAAGGCACCGTGTAACCGAAAGCTCGGTTACACGGCGCCTTCTCCGCAATAAGCCTCCGTCAGATTGCGGGCACCTCGGCCGGGATTCGAACCCGCTCATGGGGACCCGTAGGCCAGCGCTCTCGCCTCGGAGCCACCGAGGCGGCCTCCGAAATCACACGTGTCGCCACTCGTGTTCACCCTCCCTCAACAGTGTCCTACCGGGCAGCTGTTTCAGGGTTAGGCACAAGAGCTCGTTTAAATAAATGGGTGACTGTGCCGGAAAGCCGAGGTCTTGGCAAGTCATCCTTTTTGTTTTCTTTTTGTTAGCTTTGTCAAGGACCGTGTCACGCTTCGCCCGGCATTGAAATTCAACTATCGCATTACTCTTGGTCGTGCCTTTGGTTTTATTTTGTGTTCAAATCACACATCGCTCAACGAAAAATTAACTGCAACTTCATTGTTGAAGCCGCCCTATGGTGGAGTGGATGGTGGGAAAGACTCAATCGCTCAGTCAATTCTGCCCTTACGGATGTGTTAGGCTCAAACATTCTGTGTTTCAAAGCACTGACGACAACGCTTACCGAGGTGGAAGCAATATTAAACTCAAAACAATTGACATATCAGTAGTCGGGGATCGGAGAACCGTCAGCCATCACTCCTGCTCATTTCTTGGTTCGACAAGGTCTTCCAGTCCTGCCAGAGACAAGCTTGAACAGTGATCGACTAAAAAAGACGACACATCAGGAAACTGTTCGCTTACTAATATATAGGACGTTACTCTTGGATCATTTCTGGAAAAACTGGAGGTTCGAGTTCCTTCTGGAGTTACGGTTAGCTGATCGGTATCCAGTCGCAACCACCTGCAACTTGGAAGTCGACGACGTGGTAATAGTGGAACATCGCCTGGTTTCAAAGCCATATGGTTGAACTCGGAAGCATTGTCGAGACGAACCCCGTAGTCGGTAGAATTTTTCGTGCTCGTTCGAAACTGCAAATAGTCGGTCTTATCAAGATACCCGTGCAAAGCTGTACATACTGGGGATTCGAGACACTCAACTTCAAGCTCGGAAGTATATTGCAACCGAATGAGCATAAAGATGTGGTGAAGGGGCGCGGGACGGGCAGTCTGAATGCGAACACAAAATTATAAGGTCACACTGAGCGATTCGTCTACTTTTCTGCCTTTCTGTTCCTCGGATTCTCGATATTCCGGAAATTCCTATTGGCGCCACGGACGGCGCTGCACGCGTACCGAAGGTGACTCCGTGCCAAAGGTTTATTATCAGGGGAAAGTTTTTATTCCCGTCCTCCAAGAAGGTCGTCAGTCACTTCCTGGGCCTCTGCGCCGGGCCCCGAACATTTTCCAGGTCGCCGAATCGATCATCCATCTCACAAAAGATACCTTTCGGGGTAAAGTGAGAAGCAACAAAGTGCATTCTACCAAATAAAGAGACCTCTGGATACACCTCCGGAACTGTCTCTATTAAAAAAACTATATGCACCTATACCGCCAATGTCCACTCTACCATATGAAGGAATCATACGATGTGATGCATGCGTTCTTCTGAAGGAATAGTGCACAGGTCTGTGCAACGTGTGTCAGTGTTTCTCGTATCATGTCTCCGTATTCTTCTTTCAGATTACTCACAAATGGCGCTGTTTTTTAACCTGCATTTACTAGATGTTTTAATTTGCAATATTTTATTTAAATAAATGTGTCGCACAGCGAAATCAATAAATTTTCGTTTTATGTGTATTATTTTGCCCAATACTAGGGAGTCTCAACTCATTTAAAAGTTATTGATTTCTTTATTGGGCAATACTACCAGCTTCATTTATAGGAGCTATTGTAGAAGTGTTTACAGAATAAAAAGCAGCAAACTGCACTGGTACACCAACAAACTAATTAGCCAACGTGCAATTCATTCCAATATACAAAGTCATCGAAAGTCGTCAAAGTCAACTTATAGGTAACCGAGCACTAATAACTTACAACGCTCACGACACACGCACACCGGCAAAAAAGGAACCTCTCACGTCGCGTTGACTATCAACAACGGTTTGCATTTTTGTATTCTTCCTTTACATCCTTAAAGAAAATTTAAAAAAATAAAAAACAAATTGTTATCTCACTTTGTTGCGTCCTCTCCGCTTCTATGTAAAACAACTCCTATATTGTGTGGTATTTCGTTCTCTTCTAAGCGATTTCAATTTCTAACGCACTTGTTATCTTCGAGTAGAGTCTATGTATAGCAACTCCTCCTCGGAAAATAATATAGACGGATTTCTCAAGAATATGTCACTCAGCTTCACAATACTTGTTACATCGATAATTCCTCTTGTGAGTGGGTGGTGATTTTTGCTGATTACGAAGCAGCTTTTGAAGTGGCCTGAACATCCGCTTTCGCGGCAGTGAATGCCTATAAATCCTGAATAGACCCTTTCCGAAATTCAGTGCCATCTGGTGGCTGAAATGGCGGTTCAACTTTTGCCATCCCGAATGGCGGCAATGAACCCGTAGCCTGCAGTATTTTATCGGGCACCGTCACTTTTGCATGTCAACGGCAGACGAGAATAAACTTTTCGCTATGCAGGTTTTTCTGGATCATCTCTTCCAGTGTCGATTCCCACGACGATGCAAACAGTCAGAACGAAGCGCCAACCGAGACAGACACCTTGATAAAGTTCTATAAGTCAAGAGATTTCGAAGTCGATTTTGTGCCATTAACAGGTTCACTGGGCTCGAATTAGAGAAATGAACACTTACGCAGCGCTTGCATTCAATTCCGGTTTCGCCACGTGCTAACGTCTAGAATGTATAGGCCTCGAATCCTCAGCTTAGGAGTATCTTCAACATGTTCTTCATCAGTAAATAGAAAGCCGCCATTGGTATGGCACATATGCCATTTTTCAGATGATGATAATGATAGTGATCAAAGTGGCCAGACTGAATTTCGGAAAGGGTCTGTTAGCTTCTCAGATGTTGTTCTTAAGCCCTCTTCATCGGTCGCAAACTCATCTTCCCATTTGACCTATTTAAAGTTTGCCACACCAGAGTTGATAGTCAGCGCGACGTGAGAGGTTTCTTTTTACCGGTGTGCGTGTGCTCCAAGTGTGTGAGTTGTTTTGTGCGCTGTTACCTACAAATCATAAATATCCAACTCGCCCAAGCCTCTGTTTTAAAGAGGCACAATGTCATTAGTTACACTTTTTCCCTCTTGAACTGCCAGAGGAAAGGAACGAAATCTAAAGCAGTCATTTTTAAACATGCATTGCGAGCATCATCGGCAATGATACATTCGTGAGGGCCTGAACTGATTGGCCAGGCGTGCTGCAGGACACCTACCCAGAAGGAGGCTCGCAGACGACGCAGTGATGATGCTGCTGCTCACGACGAGAATTCCGCACCGCATTGACACATCCTCGGACGCCACCAGGGAAGTGGCGATGGCGTACAACGAGGCCAGGGTGCCAACCACCACGGACTGGCACTGCCGGGCATCAAGGGACGAAACTGCTGCAAGGGGCGCGGGCACCCAAATACTCCGAATACCGAGCTTGAAAAACTTGGAGCGGTAAACCGGAAACCACGGCCTTCAGCGGAAATGTCCCGCCCCCTTTTTTCCGGTCGCCGCCACCCTGCCCCTTTGCCACATTAGTGATCACGTGACGCAAGATGGCTACGCCTAGAGATGGGCCGAGCGTGGCGGTGAGAGTTGCGTTGAACCGCAACGCGACTCTGAAGTGTAATTTTTATTTGGGTAACTTCAGCATTCAGGAGCGATGGGGGCCAGCTGGGGGAGGGAGGACAACGCAGTGTGCCGCGACTTCCTATGCCACAGTTTGGCGCGATGTGAGACGCCCCACATGTTGTGGCAGTACGCAACCGTGCCAGGTCAGCATCACAATATGGATAAATACAGTAGTCGGGCTGATACCACGGACTGCCACTGTAGTGGACATATCATCGTGTACTTGTGAAGCTGGCGGGCAAGCGAGGTGGTTACAGCTCGTTGATAGGATCTGCTGGCTGCAGAAGTGGTGGCAGAGGCGGGGAAAGAGGGTGTGTATGCGGTTGCCATGGGAGTGAAAGACGCGCTTCCGGCATAATTGTCCTTAAGACGAGCTGTTGCCGTGCCCCGGGCGGCGGACGGCGTTCCCCTGGATAATAGGTGCTCGGCATCGATAATCATTTCCGGGACACAATGGACGCATGATAACAAAAATAAGTTCAGTCCGAGACACGAAGCTGAGTGTACTTTTCTCTGCAACCGCCACACAAAAAATAACATACTGTATATCCACCTATATAGTTGAGAATGTCACTTATATAGGTGCTACACACTGACAAATTAGATAGAGGCAAGCCAGTCACTACTCTTCCCATATGCATACCTCGGCAAACCTCACTCATGAGGGCCCTCACTCACCCTCACTCACCCTCATCTTCACAGGTGAGGTGAGGGTGAGTGAGTTTCTGAACCAGGAAAATTCATGAGTGTGAGGGTGAGTGAGGGCCGTGAGGGCTGTGAGGGCGGTGAGGGCCGCGAGGGCGGTGAGGGCCGCGAGGGCGGTGAGGGCCGTGAGGGCCATGAGGGCGGTGAGGGCGGTAGGGTATGAGAGCCATGAGTGCGTGAGGGGCGTGAGGGCGGTGAGTGGCGTGAGGGCCATGAGCGCGTGAGTGGTGTGAGGGCGGTGAGTGCGTGAGAGGTGTGAGGGCCATGAGTGCGTGAGGTCAGTGAGTGGCATGAGAGGCATGAGAGGCGTGAGGGCCGTGAGGGCCGTGAGGGCGGTGAGTGCATGAGGTGGTGTGAGGGCCATGAGTGCGTGAGGGCCCCTTCAGATCAGGCATCTTTCTCAGCAATTTTGGTGTTAATGACGGGTTGTTCTCTAGCTTTCCCTAGATCGACACGAATTGCTGAGATCGGGTCCGGCTCGAAATAAGCAAGCAACTCAGAGCAATTCGAATACGTTTGAAGCGGCTGCATCCAATCAGGGACGCAAAATTTTCACGTGATACCTCGTGCCGGTGATGATGACACCGAAAGACTTGGTTCTGGTTTGAAATCGATCGTTTTTTGTTTTTTTTAATAAACTGTTTCAGAAAGGTGCATTAGTTTTCTTAACGAGATATAAATGCATAAAAACACGTTTATAACGCGTAATTGTGTCGAAATAGTGCAAGAAAATTAAAATTTTATGATGACGATGGCAAATTGCAACAATTGGTTGCTGCGTGTGATCGCGGGCGGCCCGTGTTGCTGGTGTTGCGACGTAAAGTTTCTGGGCGAAATTGCCCCATCTGAAGCTGGCCTGAGTGGCGTGAGGGGTGTGAGGGGTGTGAGGGGTGTGAGGGCCGCAAGGGTGGTTAGGGGCGTGAGGGCGGTGAGTGGCGTGAGGGCGGTGAGTGGCGTGAGGGCCGTGAGGGCGATGAGGGCCGTGAGGGCGAAGAGGGCCGTGAGGGCCGTGAGGGCCGTGAGGGCTATGAGTGCGTGAAGGCCGTGAGGGCGGTGAGGGCGGTGAGGGCCGTGAGGGCGGTGAGTGGCGTGAGGGCGGTGAGTAGCGTGAGGGCGGTGAGTAGCGTGAGGGCGGTGAGTGAGTGAGGGCCGTGAGGGCGGTGAGGGGCGTGAGGGCCGTGAGGGCGGTGAGTGCGTGAGGACCGTGAGGTTCAGTGAGGGTGAGTGAAGGGCTGAAGGTGAGTGTGACTGTGAGGGTGAGGGTGAGTGAGGGGCTGAAGGTGAGTGTAGCTGTGAGGGTGAGGGTGAGTGAGGGGCTTAGGTGAGTGTGACTGTGACGGTGAGGGTGAGTGAGGGCGACCTAAAATGCCGACCTCTGCCCATATGCCCTCGTAAACGTCCTATAAGGGGCCACGGTTGGTGACACACACCGATGAGCCAGGTCATCTGTAGGACTCCAGGGACTCCTTTAGGCTCTAGCGCTGTTCTCGTGCCAAAGTCGTTGCATCGTCCAAATTTAATACGTGTCCCACAGTCCAACAGTGTTCGACGAGTTCAGTTTTTCTGCAAGTGGCCTTAGCATATTCCTTTTGTGTTGTCACCCATTTTGTCCTGTTCTTAAAATGTGCATAGCGTCATAATCCCCACACTATATTTTATATACTACCACCTCACTTCGAGTGTCCACGGGGCTAATACCTTGCTTTTGTGAAAGCATTCACCAAAGTCTAGTATGGCTTATAAACAGTTTTTACACCCAACGGGCACAGGGCTCTTCCAATTGCGTCTGACATATCAAGGATCTACAAAATAGGCACACTCGAAGTTCTCCTTGTCCTTCACTCATTTCTCCTCCCCCTCTGCATGCGCTCTTCATGTGTCGTCAACGACCTGTTATAGTGACGCTAACCTACTAGCAACATTTGTTAACTCTTGCAACCACAGATGTTCCTTTAATAATACTGATGTCGTCAAACTGAGCGATGCACCAGGGAAACCCACTTTTCGTTTCCGTGGCCAACTTGGTGATGGGGCACTTTGAGACGCTGGGAATTACACTCACTGTCCTTTCCCTAGTGACAGCACTCGAGCGGCTGTACCTATAGATCAAACCATCCTATAGGGTCACTGCCCCAGCCAGGTTATGATGGTCATCGTGCAAGCCTGCCGGCATAGCAGGATGACTAAAACGTACAGCGCAAACAGACGGGAGAGAGGAGAGACACAATCGCTGAACTTCAAACTGTAAATTGTATGTTCAGCGATTGTGTGTCTTCTCTCTTCTGTCCCATCTGTTTGCGCTATGAGTTTTAATCACCATACCTTATCAACACGTTCAAGCTTTCATTTTGAACCTCCCAACATTAGGGTGACCACCCGTCCCGCGACTCGCGGGACTGTCCCGCATTGAGGGCTCGTGTCCCGCGTCTCGCGAGAAATACCAAGATCTTTAAATTGTCCCGCATTTCCCATTGTCGTAACATTCGACTATGCAAATTATGGCGCTTCCGAAGAACGGGCCATGGGGTAGCATGGAGGTCGCTGATAAACGCGTGAATCTCGGTGGTATGCCATTTTCTATACAAGCACTGCGGGAAGCGACCGTCGTTCTTGCAGGAGACTAAAGCGCATGTGCCGTTGTGCCACTACCCTTGATGGCAAAATATTGCGAGCGAAAACTGCTCGCCAAAAGTTGAAAAATAAACTATTGTAATCATTTGCAAATCATACTGTGTCGTGCGAAATGGTTGTTATGGAAAACTATTTTTAGTGAAGACGGCCACACAAGGCAAACAACCTGCAACTCACAAGGGTCGTAAAAACAACAACATAAGATTCTAATTTTGTGCAAGAGCACGTTAGTATATGAGTAAGTATCGACAGGAAACAGTAATTAAGTCGAATAATATTTACTGTTTCTTATTTCCCTTTCATGCAGTGGGGTCTGCTGCAGTCGATTTATGTTTTCAACTTAGGCACACATAATAAAAAATTTACCATTATAATTAGACAAAACTTATATCATTGTGAGTGAAAATTATTTGAGCTTAATTGCCACCGCACAATTTTCAGGTATATAATATGCTTTCAAACTGCACATGATATCGGTGTGTGCGTGATGGTGAATTTTTTCTAAGACATTTTTTCTTGAGTCGTGAAAGTACCGTCCTCCCCTTACTGCCCCCCCCCCCCCCCCGGTCAGGGTGTCCCGCATTTCACCTGCAGGAAGGTGGTCACCCTACCCAACATACTTGAGAAGTCCTAGAGAAGTCTCTTGTGTCACCAGTCACGTGAAAACACCGAAACCTCTCACGCATACCTTCTCGGCTTCGATTCGCGGTTAAACCATGTGCCTCGCGTATCTTTCAGTAAGAGCCCTTAACATCCCGATGTTCAAGCGCAAAGAGAATGCAAAACTTTCATGCCAACATCATCCATGCGATGTTCGATCACTTCTACGGTGCATGACATGCGATCGATTATATTTTATCGGTGTCGATATCCGGTCATGTTTCGTGGGGGGTACGTGCACAACAAGTCCTATTTATTTATCTTCAGCGTTGGCATACGTGGCACAAGCTGCGATGTACCATTAGTCAGCCCCCACAGTACGATCGTCTCGGTTCAACGCGACTCGCATTTCTGCGCTCGGCCCGAACTGAGTTGAGCACAGCCATCTTGACGTCACGTGGGCACTAATGTGGCAAACCGGGGTAGGGGTGCCATATTTTGCCGCCGCTTTACCGCTCCAAGTTCCACCGAGCACGTTTATTCTGTAGGAGCAAACCAAAGAACCAGTGCATTGAGATTTTTCTACAAACTTAACTATGAGGGCTACACATGTTACACCGCAACGCAATTTTCAGTGTGCATATTTAAAATCAGAGTGTGCAGATAAACAAAAGGCTAACGAAGGTGGAAGATCAATGGCTTTTCAGCAGGTGACTAATCTGCCCTGTGTATGAAGGAACCAACAATCATATGGTTTGTAGCCCTACCCTGGAGGGACCGCACCCTTCTAAATTCGTTCACTCCCACGTGAAACTGCAAGAATTATTTTTCCGCAAGCAGCAGACAACACGGTTATACTAATGGTTAAGATCAAATGACGAACCCCACTCTCACTTCATGATTTCATACGAGACCTCAAAGTACTTTTCAACGCCATTGTACTGCTGAGGTAACCCCATAACTTGGAAAGAGACTTCTTTCAAAGGACTATTCCCACACTAAACCTGAAAAAGAAAGAATCTCTGGGAGTACAAATTGAACGAGTCAGCTACTTCACGCTGACACGAAGGGCAATTATTTTCGTCATAACAAAGTATTGTATATTTTGCCACCCAGCTTGTACCATTTGCATAAAGTGACTTATCCCAACCGGCCACTCAATTCTGGCAATAGATTATTTGCACATCTTACTTGAAGCAAAGCCATGTTGCCACAAGCGAGCCTGAAGACGTCCACCATGGATTCCGTTTTTCCTAGGTTGGCCTGAAGTTTTTAGAAAAACGAGATGATATTAGAATACGCAGGTCTCGTTCTATGAGAGCTGTTTTTGAACAAGTAATGTGTTTTAAGGCTCGCACATAACCATTTCCGGTATCAGACTTCACTGACAGAAGGCCGTCACTTTAGTGATTCAGCTTACGCCTAGAACTTCGGAATCATTTAATACAGGTGCCAGCCCAAAGCTGACACTGATGGATAAGAGTCTCAACCGAACGCTGTCGCCAAACCAATGTCCAATCTGTACCAATGGCCTTCTATAGATGGCCTCCTCTGAACACCTTGCAAAAACTCCACAGCATTCTTCAGGCCGTTTCCCACATCACCGTTTCTCTACGTTACTTTGGTTCCAAATCTTGCTCGGGTACACCCGAGTTACTCTCGCGGATTGCATGACGTTTGCAGGCACAGAACAGTCCTCCACTTTTTGCACAGAATACAAGAGTGAGCTCCGGTCTCCCGAGAGAAGGAACGCCAAAAAGAGAGCGATATAGAGGCAGAGAAAAAAAGCAGGCAATACGTTAATCATGTTCACTCTGCCGCGACATACTGAAATAGTTCTAGTGCTTGTTAACTTTACATATTTTTATAGCGCGCGACGTCGGTGTTTTTGTGGAAATTAAAACTCGAAAACAACTAGGCACACACCTTGCAAGCGACGTTTGGCTGCTTCTTTGTATACATTAAAACGTCCAAGAAGGAGATGCGGCGCTGAGAGTCTAGCGCGCAACTGCAGCTCATTCTATGTTACTACTACCTTCGTTACGAGAGTGCGGGAAAGCGGCGTTTTGTATTTTTAAGTTTATAATTTAAGTTTTGCACCCTGGAAATATCTTTATTGCAGGCCCTGCGCTGCAATAAGGTGGGATTCTTTACTGCCAGGAATTGTTCAATATATGCTTAGCAGTCCTTGGCACAGTAGCCTCGCCAAGAGCGCCGCTCATTAAAGCTGGTTTAGAAATTTGCGTTTCAATGTGACCGACTGTTTTGTTACGCAGACTACGGTTGCCATAGGAACTATCTCGTTGTAAGCTGTCGTAAGCGGTCGCAACAAAGTCGGTCTTGCTTCAACGCAGATGTCCAAACCGGCCGTTAGAACCCGTGGCTGGCAGAAACGTCGGACTCCACGCACCTGTGTCGAGAGCCGCGAGGCCAGAGTCATTTCCAGGTTTCCTTTGAGGCCCAGCAGTGCAGGCACCAAGACGAAGAGCTGAGGCACCTTGATGAAGACTTGCCACGACTGAAATATTTGTTCTCTTTGTGAGGAACGGAGCAACGTTCTTTGTGAATAACGAAGGAAGGCTAGTCTGAACACAATTAAATCGAAATATTAATTCTGAATGCCCCAGTTAATTATGCCTGTCAGTACCACTAGTTCGTCAACATGGGAAGAACACTGCATGGCATAACATGGCCAATGTGGATATTCGCTACTATTGGTTTGTCAGAATTCGAAGTACGCTGGCATATTATGGCAATGTTGGCCTGTGAGTTTTATTGGCTCGTCGGCATTACTAGAACATTGGCAAAAACTAGTCAATACTGGTATCATAGTACCACTGGCTTGACAACACCGAAAGTCGGTTGAAAGAGGTTGGAAAATATTTGTCTGTCATAGCAACTGACCAGTGTTTGTTTTTAGCTCAAAAACCTTTTTTTTTCTCAAGCGAAATATCGTAAGGGGCATATGACAAAGTAACAAAGAGCTAAAATATATGGTGACTTTCAAGATATTTCCATGGAGAGACATTTATTAGGGGAACATGTGATATGGGAATAAGCGCCATAGTAGGTTAAGGGAAAAAATCCGGTAATGAACGCTTTAAACAATTGATTATGGTCATGTTCTATTAGCGGTTGTGAAAAGGCAGTCGCTATTTAGTACAAAATAGCAATCAATCGATATAATTTGAAAAAAAAAGCAACTGGTTTCCATGTGGTCGGTGATCTGGCTGGATATTTTTGTCAATCAGAAGGAGCGCCGGTTACAATACTAAAATAATGTGCCGAATAGTACCAGGCACCTTGTCGTTTTCATGGCAGTGTGCGGTAGATACGTTAATCAACTGCGTTGCCGAGATAAGGACCAGGGCCTGTCATGGCCACATCAAACTTCGACGCATGAGTGCGTTGCGCTCGCAGAGATGTTTCCCAGTCCACTGTGTTGACCTCAACGTTTTCCCGGTAAACCATACTCTTTTTTCTTTTTTCTTTTTTTTTTGGGGGGGGGGAGGTGGACGGATATTTTTGCTTTTTGCGTGAGTATATTTAGTAGAGATGTGCGATCATTGATTTAAATGGCTCAGTGTCATTGCTAGCTTTAACCAACTGACAAAACCGGTTGTCGTGGATTTCACTCTCACTTCTACTGTTATTTATTTATTTACTTATTTATTTATTTCCATACTATCAAGGCCCAGAGGCTCTAAAGAGGTAGGTGGATGGTACAGATAAAATAGTTGACAAGCTTCTTGAAACATCTGGCCTCATTGATGGACACGATGGAAATAGGAAGGTGGTTCCAATCGTTAGATGTTCTCGGAATAAAAGAGTCAAAATAGATTTTCGTATGACATGCTGGATTGCCAGATTTACACTGGTGATCGTTGTGAGGATACACTTAAGATGCATAAACAAGCAGTTGATCTTTAAGAATTGGGCTAGTATAATAGATTGAAAAAAAAAAGAAAAAGACAGAGGTGTTTAAGTCATAAAGCGAGGTCAGGTAAGTCCAGGGTTGTTTTCATTTATGAAACACTAGCAGTAGGGGAATAGTTAAAAAGAATAAAACGGGCTGCTCTGTTTTGACTGATTTGAAAATGTTTGATAATGTTCCATGTCCCGGATCCTAAACGGAACAGGCAAATTTAAGTTTTGGTATACCGTTTTATATAATTGTAGTTTGACCGGAAGATTAGCGGAAGGTAAGTGCGTCGCAAAAACTCAAGCATGCGATTAGAATTGTTAAATGCGTAGTCGGCGTGCGTGTTCCAGGAAAGGTTATGAGTAATGGAAATATACTGGATGCTTGTATAAAGCAACAGAAGCAAACAGTATATTGTCACTAATGACAAATGATGAGGCGGCGAATTAACTGGATAAACTAAGCGTTTAATGGAGTTGCAGGCATCGATATCGGCGAAACAGGATTGAGCGCTGGGGCGAGACTGACTGCGGCTCGACACACAGAGTTCCTCTTGTACATGGGGGAGGGGGGGGGGGGGGGGGGGTTGCAACTATTTGAGTAGATACTTCTGCGCGTGAAACATTCGGACCTCGAATAAACAACAATGCTCTCAAACTCGCCAGGACGTGACATTTAAAAAAAAAAAAAACTAAACAGCGCGTCCGCTCCCAGGCATCGAACTTCCAGCGCTTTGCGTAGGAGCCAAGGACGATAAGCCTTCGACCATGGGCGCGCTTGGTCAGACACGCGCGTGGCATTGCTCCCCCCTTTAAAAAAGAGCATCGTCTCCACGCACCGTGCATAGAAATAAGGCAGAGCAAACAAAACAAAAGAATGCTAAAATACGGAGACTGGTAAAACACAGTCCTATCAAGCGTTGCACGGGATCACTCTCCAGTCTTATCACGCCTAGTACGGCTTTAGGCGCATGACGTGGACGCCTTCAGGTTGTGGTGGGCGTCGCGATGATGCTCTTGTCCTATCGGGCATAACCTCGTAGTTCAGATCTCCGTGTCGACGAAGTACCCTGTTGGATCCGAAGTTGCGCTTTATGAGTTTCTCGCTTAGACGCCGTCGTCGTATCGGGGTAGAGACCCACACTCTGTCTTCGGGCTGAAAGTGGACATCGCGACGACGAAGGTTGTTAGCGGTTAGCGTCGACACGTTGCTGGTCTTGGATCCAGACTCAGTCGAGCTGCCGGACCTCTGCTTGTTGCGCAAACATCTGGGCGTTGTCAAGCATCGTGGTCACTTTGCGACCATGCACCAGCTGGAATGGCGTAATACCAGCGGTCTTTTGAACTGCTGTGTTGTGGGCGAACGTGACATACGGCAGGACCTCGTTCCACATCTTATGTCCAACGTTGACGTACATCGACACCATGTCGGCGATGGTCTTGTTTAGGCGTTCCATCGGACCATTAGTCGGAGGATGGTACGCTGCGGTTCGCCGGTATTTGGTGTGGCAGAGATGGAGGAACTCTTGCATCAGTTGTGTTATGAACGATAACCAGCAATCTGTAATCAGAACTTTGGCAGCGCCGTGCCTGAGGTCGATGGACTCGATGAAAAACTTGGCGACTTCAACAGCAGTCCCTGAAGCAAGAGCTTTCGTTTGTGCGTACCGCCTGAGATAATCTGTGGCGGCGATTATCCAGCAGTTTCCCGACGTTGACGATGGTCCATCGGCGTACCAACTTGTTTTTTGGTGGGGGGGGGGGGGGGGGGGGGGGGGGGGAGGGGGCAAACCAGACCCCCCCCCCCGGGTGCAGCGTCGAACATGACAGTTATGTGTTTGCAGATACATGAAAATCGCGAAATGACGCGAACTAAAAAAAACAATATTGTTCTGTTTTGGCAGAAACTACTTATGAGCCGAAAACAGGATCGTTATAATAATAATAATAATAATAATAAATAATAAATAATAATAATAATAATAATAATAATAATTTTTTGCACATACTGGAAGGGGCCCATGTTGTAGTGTGCGGAGTTAGGCAGATAGGCGAAAACCTTTACGCAGAGAGCCTGCCAGCCCGCCACCACATGTGAAAAAACAAAACAGACAATAAATGTACAGAATATAAACACTACAAAAAGTACGTAAAAATGAAAAAAGTGGGAAAACGTGTATCACATTACTACGAGGATGCCAGCCATACATTCTGTCCAGCTCTCGTGACTCTGCCCCGTTTGACGGCAGTGGGCTACGCACACTGAGCGTAATTGTCAGTCAATGTTTCAACTATCTCGTTGCATCAACGAAAAGGTCACATGTAAATCACGTTATTCAGAATGCACCACATCATTTGTCAACTTTCACAGTGGACTGCGTAAGTTACTGGTCGATCTTGTGTTCTTGAGGCAGAAAATATTGAAGAAAACCACACTCGCAAAAGCTCGCAAACATACCGTGTCGCATACTCAACAGCTCGCCGTAACCGCTCGTTGAACTAAGCTGTACGATGGTAACCGCGCGACTGCGCGGTGTCCGTTTGCGATCCATGGTCCCGTCGTGTTCTTGCGCGTGCGCAGACATCTGCCGGATTTTTGCCGAACCTTTGCCGACCTTTCCTTCAAAATTTCGGCATGTGCGGAACTTTGCCGAATCTGAAGTACGGCAGATTCGGTCTATCACTAACTTTTACGGCGCAGGCGATAGACGTCCTAGCAACGACGCTCACACCGGATCGGCTGTTCGGCAACGTGCGGGAACTTAAATTTCGGATTCGGACGGCGCGTGTATCACTCGAAGCGCGTTAACCCACCAGCTCTTGGCGGCGACAGTGCGCGGCTGCTAATTACAAAACTATTAACCCACTCAACCTCCCCTCTTCCCCCCCCCCCCCCCTCTCGTACACGCCGCTTTGCGGCGTCCAGCTGGCAACCCAACCACCGCTGTCCCCCACGCACCTTCGTAAATAGAGCCCCATACGATTTAGTTCAGCGATGTTTTGTCGACAACATTCGTTTTTTTTTTTTTTTTTTCAGAGTTAATCGTAAAAAAGAAATGTCGTAAATATCGCCAATTGCCTCAACAAAACAAAATGTACGGGGGAAAAAAAAAAAGAAGTAAGCCCACACCGTGGATAGAACCCGGGTCTGTTACGTATGAGGCAGACATCTGGCCACTAAGTTACGCTACCCGCTTCGGAAACTCGTATTGTAACCCCTGCCTATGATGACGGCGACAGCGCCCATCTTCATGAAGCATCCATTCCGGCGTGAGCGCCGTTGCTAGGTTTTGTATCGCTCGCGCGTTAAAAATATGACCCCGCGGGTCGGGAGGCGGTGCCCTTGGTATTCCTTGGGCGCCTCCGCCCAGTGTTTGCCCTGCCCAGTGGCGGCTGTTTCAGGGAGGGGGGGAGCAAAACACATACTTTGCCCCCCACTCTGAGAACTGGGGGGGCAAGAGCCCCCCTTGCTCCCCGCCCATGACGATGGAAAAGGGGAAGTAGATCTATTTCAATTTGATGGAACGGTGCACTTGGAGGAGGAATTGACTGTGGAAGACCTGCTGGCTTCGTCGGCGGTTTCTAGCGACGATGGCA